CGAAGGAAGCCCTGCACCCGCCCCGGCCCCGAGCGTTGCCAACGGCCGCCGGCTGCTCCGAGGGTGGCGGACGCGGTCGCTGCGCCAAGCGCGGGCGTTCGGGCTTGTAGAGATCGGGCGCGCCGTTGTAAATAAATGACTTGTGGCTTTTGCAATCCACTTTTACCCACCCCATGTCTGCTCCTTTTGACTACCAAAGAAATGAGTTCCCCAAAGTTAGGAGAGGGGCTCGTTTGGAGCCTGATGCTGTTTTGTTTTGAAGGACTTGGCCTATTCTGAACCTGAAGCTTCCCGGCAGCAGGGCCTAACGGGACCGGGACACCAAACACCTTGTTGGGTGCCCAGCTGAGCCAGGACCTCCCCCAATCTGGCTCCTCCTCCGTGTTTCAGGAACAAAAACTTGAGGACGTGACTGCTCGCGGGAGGGAGCGGTGCTCCAGGCCTTCACCGCTCCAGCCTGGTTGGGAGGGAGCCAAGATAGAGCGTCTGCTCCATGACCTCTCCACAGTACAGCTCTTGAGATTAGCAGTTGGAAAAGGGCAGGAAGACTTCTCAGTAGAGGGCCACGCTGCCGAGGATGTGGGGCTCTTCACTGCTTGGGGCTGGACAAGGTGCACCCAGATTGGTGGGAGGCATTTTGCAAACAGAGGCAGCTGATTTTGGAGGCTCTGATGCAGAGGGAACTGGAACTGCTTGGGTGGGTGGGTGCCTGCTAGTCATACAGGGAGGAGGCAAGGACCTTGTCTCCATCCTGGCACCCCCCCACCCCCTTATCCCACCCCCACGTGTCAGGCTGAACTGGAGTCCCGCTCCCAAAGGAGAGTTCTGCTGAATTGTCTTGTAAGGGCATAGCTCCTACTCAGTCTAATGCTACTGTAACATTCTAGCAGGAAGCCTTTGATCAGGACCCTTTTTGTTGTTGTTCGCATGCATGAGTAGGCATTTTACGGTATATTCTGGGAGGCTTGTCAGTTTTGAAAGCTTTGCCTCCAGCCCCTTCACTGAATGCACACAGGCCGCTATATTTTTAGTTTCCTAGTCTTCACCAAGCAATATTTGCCCCCACCCCTTCCCGAAGTCTTAATAGGCTGTCCCCCTGGGCAAGGTAGAACATAGGATTGAAAAGCATCTTTCCTATAAAACTGTTCCTGTTGCTGCTTCTGCAAGCTTTTTTTCCGGACAGCCTTCACCTTGGAAAGGTAGTCCTACTTTCTTTGCTGGTTCCATTTCCCCAGCTGTTCTCACCTACCTTTAATTTACAGCGTCTGTTGGATGTAGCCTGTGTTTAAGTAAGTGTGAGGTTTAAGCTTTTGCATCAGCTTTTAAAAATTCACATCTTTGAGCCACCTGACCAGAAGCAGTTTCCTTCCTGAGGTTTTCTTGTGAGTCAAACCCTGCAGAATTGTCGCCCTCGTACCTGGGCCAGAGAGGGAGAGGATGTGGGGAGGGCTTTCAGGGTGCAGGTACCTGCAAAAGGCCTGCCAGCCAAGCCCTGTAGAAGTGTGCGCAAGGAACTGTCCTGAGGCCACACCGGAGCCGTGACTGGGATGAGGACAGTCTTAGGAAGCTGCCCATCTCTCGACTCTGTCGATGCAGGCAGGAACTCTCTGTGTGAGAAGTGTGCCCTGGAAACTAGGCCAAGAGCTGCGCCCATGTTTCATTCTCCTCTCCTTAGGGGCTGGACTCAGGGAGAGTCACCCTGTAGACAAGCAGTGTCCTTGACACTTCTTGCATTCTTAGAGGAGAATGACCCCTTCCTCTCTGTCTACACCAGCATCTTCCTTGAAGACCTCCTCTTCCCAGCGCTGCCTGGGACACTTCCCCCCCCACCACTCCCTTGCTTTCCCTGTGGGTTTCTTCAAGGTAGAATTCAGTGTTGCACAGTTTGCTCATTGAGAGTGTGGACACCAAGCTAGACCTGGTGGCTCCTACCTGGAGGTTGGTAGCACTCCTGGTATTCGGAAGGCTGAGATAGGACAGTATGAGTATAAGGCCCAGTGTGGGGCACAAAGTAAAACCTTACATCAAAACTTACTGTTTTGTTTATGGGCGTTTTGCCTGCGCGCGCACGTGTGTGTGTGTGTGTGTGTGTGTGTGTGTGTGTGTGTGTGTGTGTGCGCGTGCGCGCATCATGCATGCCCTGCCTGTGGAGGCCAGAAATGGTGTTGGATTCCCTTGGGCCTGTAGTTATAGGCATTTGGTAGCTGCCATGTGGGTGCTGGGAGTCAAACCAACATCCTCTGAAAGAAAAGTCAGGAATGTTCTTAGCCACTGAGTTACTGAGCCATCTTTCCAGCCCCATGTCTCAAAAAAAAATTCAACCCATTAGTTTAATAGAACCCATTGGTTACAAAGTTACAGAACCTTCAGCACTGTTTAGAACATTCCCCAGGCCAAAAAAGAAGCCAGTGCTCACCTGCTTCCACAGTCTCAGCAGCTACTCACCAGTTTTTTTCTCTTCCTGGATTGGTTCATGCTACACATTTCATATAAATGGTACTGTGCACCACATGACCCTTGGGTTGGGCTTGTCCTCTTTTCCACTGCAAGGTCTGCCTCCAGGTAGTGTGTGTTGGCACACCACTCCCTTTCTTGGCTGAGTAACGTTCCTACACAGCTTTGTGCGCCCACCACCTGCAGATGCACTCCTGGGTTCCGCTGTGAACACTGCCTGCAGGCAGTCATGGAGCCCCATTGTATACACCATCTTACGAGGCCCAGGGATTGGCTGGCTGTCAAACTCACCAAATCTTAGGGCCAGTGACAGAGACCATCTTGGACTCCTTGCTGGAGTCCCAAGGGCTGGCTTTGTGTGCGCTTGCTGGTGACATCTCACCCTGATCTGTGGGGTGAGGTAGGTGACAGGGAGCCCCTCTTGACGGCAGAAAAGTGCTTCTGAGAATCCGTTCACGGTGCTAGCATCAGGTCTCAGGCTGATCCGGCTTCTCAGCTTGGTTAAACATGTCTTGCCAGGTGGTGGCTCCATCAAAAACCAGAGTGCAGGAAGTTTTGACACTGCCTGGGCTGTAGCCCGCCGTCCTCAGTGCAGAGGGACCTCTTCTTGAGATCTCATAATGCCAAAGGGACATTGGCTGAGTCATCTGCAAATTCAAGAAGATTCTCTCATCCCTTCTGACCAACGTGGCTCCTCATCTCCACCCCAGAGCCTACTGAGAAGTCCCAGGGGAAAAGTAAAACTTGACACTGGCTTCTTGCAGCCCTCACAGTCTTTGAAGTTGCCATCTCTCTGGAGGCTGAGTCGGTGCCCCTCCAGGTGCCTCCAGCACTTGTGATTTTGTGCACACGTCAACTTTTTTAAACTGTGAGCTTCTATATTAAACTAGAATCTCCACTCAGAGGGCCCATGTCAGTAAACTCCGCCTGACCCAGTTTTATGTTCTTCCACCATTATCCCATACCCTTCAAATCCATTCCTACATGTATTTTCCAGACTTCGGCTTGAAGGAGTTAGCAAACTCATTAAGCTCTCTAGTAGTGTAGTGCACCTTCTCATGGACTACACTTCCTATCTCCCCTCTAGGAGCATATAAATTACATTTGTATGTACTTAAAAACTTAAGTCTGAGCCGGGCGGTGGTGGCGCAGGCCTTTAATCCCAGCACTCGGGAGGCAGAGCCAGGCGGATCTCTGTGAGTTCGAGGCCAGCCTGGTCTCCAAAGTGAGTTCCAGGAAAGGCGCAAAGCTACACAGAGAAACCCTGTCTCGAAAAACCAAAAAAAAAAAAAAAAAAAAAAAAAACTTAAGTCTGGTTACAGGTCTAGAGGCGGCTATCGATGGGCCCTAAGGAACATCAGTATTGTCTTACCTGGCATCTCATTTAGAGAAAGTCACTGCTGGTTTAGCAGACAATGAAGGATTTCTTCAGTCAAAGGTGGAAAAGGCAGTGTTTCAGGGAGTTGGGGTGGAAGTAGATCTTCTGCTGAGGGTGGAAAGACTACTTCCTCAGGTGAGATAAACACTTGAGAATCTGAGGTCCAAAGTCCTCAGCTTTAATTGGGTCCTCCCTTATTTTTCTACAAGGTGTCAAAAGTTTTATATACAGAGTCACCAAATCCATTGCCTCTCAGAATTAGTGAATCAGAATAATCAATCCATTTATCTCCTTAATTTTATAAAATAGTTCACACCATGAACTTTCAGTACTCTCCAAGCTTTTCAGTAACTATAGGTGTTAGCAAATTGGAAAGCCTATTCCAGATACTTAAAAAATTCTCCCTTATACTTCTCTTGCTTTAGAACCAATTCTGACACCAAAATCTGTATTAGTCGGTGTTCTCTCGAGAAACAGAACTTATACGGTGAATATATATATATATATATATATATATATATATATACACACACATACATATAGACTTGTGTGTATATACATACATATGTATATATAATATAAAGGGGATTGATTTATTAGGATGGCTTACAGGCTGTGGTCCAGCTAATCCCAACAATGGCTGTCTACCAATGGAAGGTCCAAGAATGCAGTAGTTGTTCAGTCCACAAGGCTGGATGTCTCAGTTAGTCTTCAGCATATGCCAGAATTCCAAAAAAGTAGGCTCTAATGCCAGTAAAGAAATGCACTTGCCAGCAAGAGCAAACAGACAAAGAGAAAAGCTTTCTTCTCCCATGTCCTTTGTATAGGCTGCCAGCAGAAGGTGTGGTCCAGATTAAAGGTGGATTTACCCACCTCTAAATATCTACCAGGTCTTTAATCCCAGGATTCAGGAGGCAGAGGCAGGTGGATCCCTGAGTTTGAAGCCAGCCTGGTCTACCAGAGCAAGTTCCAGGACAGCCAGGACTACACAGAGAAACCCTGTCTTGAAAAACAAAAACAAAACAATAAAAGCGAGTCTTCCACTTCAATTTAATTAGTAAAATATCCCTTACAGGTGTGCCCAGCAGTTGGATTTTAGTTAATTCCAGATGTAGTCAAGTTGACAACCAAGAACAGCCATCAACTTGCACAATTTTGCTCCATTCCTTTTTGTTACCCACTGGTGTGCATCTATCTGATGAACGGAAGATATTGTGAACACCATCTGGGGGTGTGGGCAGGCAAGGACAGAACTCCTGCTGCTGGCATCTGGGAGCATGCTAGCAAGAGACTGGCCCCCTACTGATCCTCAGTGTCCCAAGTTTGTGCCCAGTACCCAAGCCAACCCAAGCATAGTCCCTCCTGTCACCAAGCTTTGACTCATAGGATACAAGAACCCCTGCCCTGCTGCCTAGGACCCTGTCCCAGGAGACTTGCCTGGCCAGCTTTGACCATGTGGTATCAGGGCTCCAGGCCTGGCATTTTGTTCCCCACAATTGTTAGTCCACTTTACTCCCTGGCCCCCTGGCCTAATACCCTGATTCCTGAGGTTTTGTCAGTCACCACATGATCTTGAGACTTTCAGGAAAGAAATGGGCACCCTGCCCCAGAGATGTTCTTTTTGGGGTACAGGCTGCAGGGGATCTACCAAATACAGGAGGGCTATACTGCCGGAAGGGACAGCTCACCTCTAAGCTATGCCCAGCTGGGGGGTGGGGGCATGAGCATAAGATTGTCTCCAGAACTGTCAGTAGCAACTGGGGAGCCACGCTGTATGTGCTGGCATGGAGGAAGTAGCCTCAGGTCCATGTCACCTGCAGGTTCTGCGGGGAGTGCCTCCAGCCATGTCTGCAGGTGCCATCCCCTCTGTGCCCGCTCTGCCGCCTGCCCTTCGACCCCAAGAAAGTGGACAAGGCCACCCATGTAGAGAAGCAGCTCTCATCTTACAAGGCACCCTGCCGGGGTTGCAACAAGAAGGTACCCGCCCTGCTCGGGTTTCCTGAGGCTGGGGGGCTCTGGGTGGGGCAGCTTCCGCCCATGGGTTCCACTCTCCCGTAGAGGAACTGGGTACATGGGCTCACACCCCTGGCTGTTGAGTAACCACATCTGCTCCAGTGTGAAGCCACCTGCCAGACCCTGTCAGAGCTCCAGGGAAGCAATGCCGTCACAGCTGTCTGACCTAGGCTCAGCTGGCTCTGCATCGTGGCTGATGCAGATTCTGCAGATGCAGGCTGAGCACTCAGGCTGTGACAGACAAATCTGGGGAATCCAAGAAGGTTCTGGGGGCTCTGAGGTGGCAGGTGCAGCCAGACAGAGACAGGGCCTTCTGAGTCTGAGCTCCTTGCACCCGATGCCAGTGTCTGTCCCGAGAAGGATGGCATGGGCCCTGTTCCCTGTGTCATCACACAAGGGCCTGCCACTTGTGCTGGGGCTTACAGGCCTCTTTCCGTCCTATCCCCAGAGCCTGCCTCGCCCCCTCCTTCTCCCTTTGTTCCCAGGAAAATAAGCAGCTGTGAGTACACTTGCAGTGTGTGTTGCAGACATCCCTGTGTCTCTAGTTAATACATTGTGCTGTGTTAACTGGTCACTGTGTCCTAAAGGTCAGCAGGTGGAGGAACTGGAACGACCCTGGGTCTGGAGTAGCAAGGCTGTCAGTTGCTGTGGTCCCCCTGGGTGCTCTGGTTAGACTTTCCGAGGGAGACTTGGGGTCAGAGCCGGTCAGTGTCACATGTGAAGTAGCCCCACTACTTGAACATCTCAGTTTTCAAGCTGTCTTCGGAAGCAAATTTCCCTGCATGGATACCCAGCTTTGGCTGTGACTCAAGGAGGACCTTCTTGGACCCTTGCTGGTCTTGGGCACAAACTCTGGATGCTGAGGACATGTGTTATACCCAGCTGCCAAGACTGGTGTGTTAACATGTCCTCCTTCCCCCTCAGTCCTGGGAAATGTCTACCCCCAGCCTTGGTGTGCACCAGGGCTCAGGACCTTGTGTCCACCCTCAGGAAAAGGCTGGCCATGGATTCTGCTCTCTTCTGGTTACTCACTGAGCCCAGGTTGATTGAGCTCTCCCTGGTGAGCATCCTCTGCCAGTCCCCCATCCCTTGCCTTCAGGCTCGGCTGCTGCCCCTGGCCAGTGTACTCTGGCGTGACCGTGGTGACTTGATGGGACCAGCTGGGTGGTAATGATCACACTGCAATGTGATCTTCACCACAAAAAGTATTTTGTCAGAGGAGAGATCTTTCATTGGTTTCTCCCTAGGGGTGTGAGCTTTTTTTACCTAGTAAGAGTTGATCCTTTCCACTCATTGGAACAGCTTCCCATTTGCAGGCCTCTCTAGGGACTCAGGCATGGCGCCTGCTTGTCCTGTCCTGGGGGGTTAGTGGCCTGCACCTGCTCTGTACAGCTACCTGAGAGCCATGAACACTGCTGTGTCTGTGTGGCTCTGTAGAGACCCGTGTGTCTTCATGTGTGACCTCTTGTTCACCAGGCCCCTTCCAGAAGCCTCGGGTGTAGGTTGGTGCTCAGAGCCTCTGGTTGCTTTCAGAGCAGAAGGGATGGATCTCTGCTTTTGCTGGTCATTCTCTGTCCCTGCTGCCTGAGGTCATGACCTGCCCAGTTCTGCTTTCTCCTCTCATCTCCTAGGTGACTCTGGCAAAAATGAGAGTGCACATTTCCTCCTGCCTGAAGGTCCAGGAGCAGATGGCTAACTGCCCCAAGTTCGTTCCTGTGCTGCCCACATCCCAGCCCATCCCCAGGTAGGCAGCCTTCAGGATGGGGCCCCAAGATGAGCAGAGTGAGGGTATTTCCTAGGCCAAGGACTGTATAGTCCCTCCCCTCTGTCATGGCCATATCCCATCAGTCCAGTGGGTGGGGTAAAGGAGAGGACCAGGAGTTTTCTTACAAGGCATATGGTGCTCCTTAGGCTGCAGGGGATGGGTCAGGGCCAGCCCGTCCACAGAGGGGAGGCAGGTTTGGGGAGGAGCTGGGGTGAGTGCTCTCGGCCCTAGCCTCGCTCAATGTCCTCCCACCCCCAGCAATATCCCCAACCGGTCCACCTTTGCTTGCCCATACTGCGGAGCCCGCAACCTGGATCAGCAGGAGCTGGTGAAGCACTGTGTGGAGAGTCACCGCAGCGACCCCAACCGTGTGGTGAGCATCAGCAGCACAGGGCTTCTGCCTGAGGGAGACGTGGGGTCAGGCCTGGCCGGGGAGTAGGACACACCAGTGGACACCTTCGGTGGTGGTGCTCTGGACCATACTGTGGCTGAGTGAGTGGCAGGCAGACATGGGAGGAGGCCCCTCCCTGCTACCCCCAACTTCTTCGTTCCAGGTGTGCCCCATCTGCTCGGCGATGCCCTGGGGGGACCCCAGCTACAAAAGCGCCAACTTCCTGCAGCACCTGCTGCACCGGCACAAATTCTCCTACGATACCTTCGTGGTAGGTGTCCTGCCCGCCCGCCCCCCCCATACCTTCGTGGTAGGTGTCCTGGCCGCCCCCCCCATACCTTCGTGGTAGGTGTCCTGGCCGCCCCCCCCCATACCTTCGTGGTAGGTGTCCTGGCCGCCCCCACCCACATACCTTCGTGGTAGGTGTCCTGGCCGCCCCTCAGGGTCTCCTGCCAGGCGTGACAGCGCCAAGACTCAGTGGCCACTGGAGGGCACCAGGCACCTAGACTCGTCACGGGCTTAGCCTTACACCAGGCAAGCTGCTCTGGGTCCTTTGGTCACCACTCTGGGCCACCTGAGGCAGTACCTTGGTTTTGTAGCAGCATCAGAGACTGAGTCCCTGGTAAGGTATTGACTTCCCGGTGATTCTGAAGAGAAGCTGGAAGGACTTTCTCAGGAGCATCTGTCCACCCCCTAGCTGGGTCAGGAGGGTACAGCCCACTTCAGGCCCCTCACCTAGACTTATCCCATCACCTCTTGCATCCTCCAGCCAACTAGGGTTTCTTTCTTCCTGGTCCCCAGGGCTGGAGATCTTGTTGCCCTGACTGACCTTTCATCTCAGAAACCCCAGTTCCTGGCCAGGAAAATGGGTCAGTGGATAAAGGCTCCTGCCGCCAAGGCTGACGACTTGTGCTTAGTCCCTGGAACCCATACATTAGGAAGTCCCCTGACCTCCATATCCACACATGTCACACACATGCCTTCACATACACACAAGAAGTCCCCTGACCTCCATATCCACACATGTCACACA